AAAGTTTGATTTCACAACTTCAAAACAAATGTAGAATAAAACATTCACAAGTTAAAACCAATTCAAACATGGTCCTTCTTAAAACCAATTAAAAATAAACACAATAATGTTAGTCCATAAATAAATCAATAATTCAAAAATATTAAAACTAAGAAACATAATAAGTAACTCTCTGCATTCTATCCCATCATGCTCTCCATGTTTCAAGTACCTGTTACCCCCTCTTTATTCACCCCTCTATTCACCATATAAATTGGTCATAGTAAGGTCTATCCAAAGGAAAGCCAAACAAAAAAAACAAAAATACGAATCAGCAAAGCTGAGTACATATGCACCACACTTACATGCATATTCTAGCATCAAAATTAAAATAATTAAAACATGCTCACCACACAATCACAAGTCAACTTTCCTTTGACTCGTTACTAGAAATATTATTTATTAATAATAATTTTGGATTACGCATCGAATGGGTTTCTTTCCTTGAAAATAATCCATTTAAATATTGAGCTTCCAATCAGGGAGCTACCCCAATTGGCACCTACTATGTCACACTTGTGACGGAATTCCAGCGCATTAATAATAAAAGAAAGTACAGCGTCCTGTACCCCTTTAGAAGTTATGGTTCATACTCAAGGTATATACGTTCTAAGAGTTTTGGTGCATATCCTCTAACACTTTATGTGATTTACCAATTTAACATGTGATGACTCAAACCAATCAATCAAGAATAAACATAGCAACATTCAACACATACTTCCAATTCATTCTTGAATTAGTTAGTGAGCACATACTATTTATTTCAATTAAGATTCCTTGCCTAGTTTTGTGCACAAAACTGCACGATTACTACCTTGGTGCATAAAATGCACTACTAAATTTCCTTGACTCAAACTCAACTTACATGAGCGAGTAAATAAATAAACTAACTTCTTGACTCAACACCAATAATAAATGGGTGAGAAATAAATTCATGAATCCTGATCAATAATTCTAACTTTAGCTCTTTAATTCATATATAAGTCTTGCTTATTAAATACATGTCTTCTTGATACTTGAAAATAAAACATACTTCCATGATTCATACATATTCAGCTTGTATCATGTCTCAATTAACATATTCACATGCTTGCATAACACTTCATGCTCATTCAACATTAATAATAAGTATATAATTAACCAAACATGCTACTAATTCATCACTTAAATCATACTTTACAAATCCTAGCATGATACTACGCATACAGAAATATTCTTGTGCACATACGTACCTTGAAAAATGCCTAAACTCGGCCACACTCACTAGAAATCCTCTACCTCGAAGCTTCCATTCCTACAAATAAGAATACATAACTATAATTAATCCACTATTCTCACAAATTTCAAGCAACTATAATACACTTTAAACCCTACTAATCAACCCAATTTAATGACATAAAAGCCATAAAACCTTCTTCTTTAAGTGGGTACTTCAAATCCTTTCAAAAATACTTAATTTTTATGAATTAAATAAAATTCCAGCATACTTATTTAATATAAAACATCACTAATAGACTAGGAAATCATATTTAAATCATTAAAACCTTTTTCACTTTTATGGGTAATCAAACCCTAACTCAATAATTAAAAAGTAGTGTGCATAAATAAATTCCAGCATTAATTTGAGGGTTTTAAACTCATTAAAAACATGTTTAAACCATTAATTAAACAACAACAACAACAACCTAGGATCAAACCCTAACCATAAACCATAAATTCTCAATTTCTAGAGTTTGTAAATTAAGGTTTTTGATTAAAATCTGAAAATTATATAAATAATTTAACAACATCAAATACCCAAAATTAATACCAAAATATAATCAACATCATGCTTTAAAAAAAAAAACAATAGAATTAAATTAGGAAGAGAAAAAAGTTTTTTTTTTATTTTTAATACCAAACTGCAAAAAGAGGAGAGAGAAGGAGGGTAGCCAGCGGTGGTCACCGGCCGCTGCTGCTGGCAGCTGGTGGCTGGTGGTGGAGCCAGTGGCTATCGGCGTGCATGAGGGGGATGAGGAGAGAGAGGCGTGGGAAAAAGAGAGGAAAAAGAGAGGAAAAAGATAGAGAAAAGGAGAGAGAAAATAAAGAGAAAACTTTTGGGATTTTTGTGAAATATGACAATAATGATTTTAGAGTGAAAAATCTTGAGGTTTTGAAGTATTTATACTCCTCTTTTAATAAAAAAAAACTCATAATTACAACACTGTCATTATCAAATCCTACTCACCCTTGACTTCTTGCTTTGGGGCCAACTTGTTGGGCTCTTAAGTGCCCTTAATATCCCAACAAGTGAATCCAATTATTTAAATAAAGATGACCCAATTTAAAACACTTTTATTGCATCAATAAATAACTCATATTATTTCATACACACTTACATAATATTTAAATAATTAATTTCTTTTAAAATAAAATGAATCATTTTAAAGGTGTAACTAATTACTGCTGCAAGTAATCTCACTAGAGAAAGTAAAGAGCCACAAGAAACAGGTAAATCAGTGATTATAGATATGGATGGTACTTTTCAAACCAAACCGTGAAACCGCCCATTACCAAACCGAACCATCACGGGTTGAACCGTTTATAAACCGCTAATTTTAAACCGAAAACCGAACCGAACCGTATAATGTCAAACCGAAACCGAACCGAACCCCTTAACTATCAACCCATTACGGACCGTAGACCGATAACAAACTGAACCAAAGGGGAACCGAACGGTTATAAACCCGTTATTGGCCCGAACCGTTTATAAACTGAAACCGTTTAAACCGTAGAAAAAACCGTTTAAACCGAACCATTTGTAACCCGCTAACCGTTTAAATCGATTCGTTTATGAACCGAAACCGTTTAAACCACATGAAAACCATTTAAACCGAACCGTTGTAATCTGCTAACCGTTTAAACCGAACCGCTATAACCCGTCAAACTGTTAAAATTGATCTGTTTTCAAACCGCAACCTGTTTAAACCGATCCGATTACAAACTGCTTAATTCAAATTGAATTATTTACGACCTAAATACAATTAATGTTTAAAGTAAATTAATCGTAGCCATTGGTAATTTTGTAAATATAACATATACATCTAATATGCCGTTGTATTAGATTACAACGTAAAAAAGTTAATAAATGTAGATCTAATTAAACGGCTTAGGTTAATACAACGGTATATATCACCTAGTCCAACGGCATTATTGATGTCGTTTTAGATTACTTATTTATTTTAATTAATATAAAATGTAACATACTAGTATTAATGTATTATGTATATACTTTAATTAAACAAAGGTAACAATAAACATAAATTTAAAATAAATAACTCTAATTATTCCAAAAAATACATTTCATCTACATTTTACATTAAAAATAAATAAGTTTAGGATTTACATTTTACATATGATCATAAATTATCCTAATAAAAAAATTTAACCTAAAAAAACAATCCTAAAAACAAAAGGTAGCAACAATCTTAAAGCAGCAGCACAACACCTTAGAATAGAAGAAACAACAGCAGCAGGCAGGAACCAACTCAGGCAACAACAGATCAGCAACTCAGCAAAAGTAGGCAACAATATAAGCAAAAGCAGCTCAGTAGGAACAACAACCAAAAGCAGATAAGCAGCTCACAAAACATCAGTTCAACCAACTTCAGAACTAATTTTTGTTTTCAAAAATTGCTCTCAGATTTACGTTTATCGTATCATCAGTAAGCAATGATTGTTTTAACTTAAAACTTGAAAAATGCTGCCAGCAAGTACATATACATTAAAGTCTCAACATAAATGACAAGGGCAACGATGATTCAAGATAAATTAAAACAGCAAGCATAAGAAATAGCAGCACAAAACTTATCATAAACAAAAAAGGCAGCAACAATACTGAAGCAGCAACACAGCACCCAAGAGCAGAAGAAACAGCAGCAACCTTAAGCTGGCAGGAGGCAGGAACCATCTCAGGCAGCAACAGATCAGCAGGCAACATAATAAGCAGAAGCTCAACATGAATTGTAACCAGATTTAAGTTTACAATTTTTTGTTGTAAAAATTGATCTCAGATTTAAGTTTACAATTTCATCACCGAGCAGTGGGTGTTATAACCTAAATCTTGAAAAATGCTACCAGCAAGTCTCAAAATAAATGACAAGGGCAACGATTTTTCAAGATAAAATAAAACAACCACAATGAGGCAACAACAACAAGGACATATATAACAACAGCCACAATAAGGCAACACCGCTGCACAAATACCTGTTATGTAGATGAAGCACTTTCTGCTTCAATCTCTTTACCAACAAGGAGGACGTCTTCCTCAACATCTCCTTGATAACCACGACACCAATTTCGGGTGGTAACCAATGCCTCAACATTCTTTGGCAAAAGCTTACCCCTATATTTGTTCAAAATATGACCACCCAAACTAAAAGAAGATTTGGAGGCCACCAATGTAATAGGAATGGCCAAAACATCCCTTGCTATATTAGCTAAAATAGGAAAAGCAGAAGCTTGAGATTCCCAATACTTGAGAACATCAAAATGTTCCCCTTGAATTATTCGCGAACGAGGTCCATTCAAATATGACTCAAGATCAGCCAGAGGGCATCTAGCTGAATCACCATCTTCGTCATCATCAATCTTACACAACTGAAACAGTTTTTTTTTTATATAAAAAGTTCAATTATAACATTACAGATAAAAATAATATACTGCCATTAATATTGTATAACATAATTACTGTAAATATTTTGAGAATTCAACATGCGATTAGAATTTTCAGATTGAGCTGTGATGAAAGGGGCAGGATTTCTGCAGCTTGTATTAGATGCAACAGAATAAAATTTATAAAGGTCACAAAGACCTTCCTTAGTCATCTTAATCTTTTCGTCACATGCCTCACCATCATACAACAAGTTCAACATTTTTCTCACTCGATACACCTTATAACGAGGATCAAGAGCAACAACAACTTAAGGAATCAAACAATAATCCTCCCAATAACCCTCAAACTTCTCAAGCATAACTGCTGCTATGGGTGCAAGTTTAGGGTCTTTATGGGCTTGATTAATAGCGTACTCAATTTTTAAAACACTAACAAAATACAAATTAGTAGTGGGATATTCAGTACTAGAAAATAACATAGTAATATCATAAAATGGCAGAAGAAAATCACAATTTTTTTGAATGGTATCCCATTCATCAGCATCAAGTCTATAAGAAATACCCAAAAACCTACTAGTATATAGAATCAAGGCATCCTTAGCTTCTAAGGATTTTCGGAGCATTATATAAGTGGTGTTCCAACGAGTCACAACATCGAGACATAACTTACCATTAAAAGCATACTGTAACTCAGATAAAGCATGCTCAAATTGAGTTGATCTAGAACCAGAAGCATCAATATATTTAACAACTTCACGCAATTTTTCAACACTTTCATGAACTTCTTTTAAACCTCTTTGAACAATAAGATTTAAAACATGAGCTAAACATCGAACATGAAAGAATTAACCATTACAAGGAAGAGGAGAGCATTGCATTAATTCTTTTTTCAAATATTCAACCATAACATTAATAGAACGAGCATTATCAACGGTCATTGAAAAAGCCTTACCTTGAAGGTTCCACTCTTTGATCAGTTTAAACACAAACTTTACAACCTCAACACCAATATGGGGAGGGCCACAATATCTAAATTATTTAAAATTTTAGACCTAAGAGACCAACTGTCATCAACATAATGAGCAGTCAAAGTGAGAGAGCCTCGGTTAGTACATGCAGTCCACATGTCACCTGTAAAGCTAACTCTACCAGAAACATTAAGCAAAGACTCATGCAACAAGGATTTATATTTATCATACTCAGCAATACAATACTTAACAAAGTTTTCTACAAACATGTTTCACCTTAGGATTTAAATATGCATGAAGTTCCCTAGGATATTCATGCTCAACAATATTTAAAGGATATGCATGGCAGAATATAACTTTAGCAAACTTGTGTAAATAAGTTTTTTGATCAAAAGCTGATTCTTCACCTTGTTGAAGACCAACGTTTAGCAAGCATGCATTAATATGAGTTCTACAAGTTGAAGTACCTGATCTACCAGGTGCTTTATATTCTTTGCCACACAAATTACAACGAGCATATTCTACCTTTCCATTACCTACCGTCTTAAAAAAAATGTGTAATGCTTCCATATACCTGAGGTTCTTTGACGTTTATTACCAGCAGTAGTGATAATGCTGGTATTATGAGCATCATCAATCGTGCCAGAGGGAGCTTGGGAGCTTATAGTTTCAAAATATGATTGCCTCTCAGAGTCAAATTCATTATACGCATGAGACATGACTTAAACAAAAAAAAAACCGGCATGTAGAAGTACCAAATGAAGTGACACAAATTCTACTAATAGTAAGCAACTCAGCATGCAACCTTGTCAATACACATACAAGTATACAACTGATACAATGATACAAGTATACAACCCTCAACATTCATAAATCATAGGATTAATACCATTTTTTAATCCCAAGTTTGGCCAATTTATTTTTATTAATCCCAACTTTGGATTATTCCTCAATAATCCCAACTTTGATATGGTCTATCATTCCTCATACCCAACCGGTTTCTTAACCTGTTGTACCAGGTTATTGTCCTACGTGGCAAGAGTTGTTACTTTAATTTATATTTTTTATTTTTTAAAAAAAATAGGATAATAAACTCCTTTATTACTTCCTTCTTTCTCATCCTCTCTGTTATTTTCCCGTTACAACTCCCTCATCCTCTCTGTTTTCTTTCCTTTTCAAAAGCCTCTCCTTCTTTCTTCTCTCATAGTTCACCATAAGCAATGGCTGAAGGTAGAAGTGTACCAGTTGGTTCCTCTGGGCCTTCTTCAAACTCGCGAGGAGGTTTGTACACCACGACGAAATGCAGCTGTGGTTTGGACGCCGTTGTGTGAATTGTGAAGAAGGGGCATAACATTGGATCCAGATTTTATGGATGCCTAAAATGGCCGGTAATGGTTAAAATGTAGTTATTTAAGGTTTAATTAGTCCTAATTAGTCCAATTTTTTTTTGGCAAAATTAAATCCCAATTGTAGTTAGGGTTTTGATTAAAAGGGGTATTTTTTGGTACAGGATACCAATTGCAATTATATGAAGTGGGTTGACTGTACTAATGGGGATGATCTGCGATTAGAGATATTTAAAAGGGACATTACAATTGCGGAATTGGAGATGCAGAACAAATTCCTTGAAGACAAATTGAAGATAATGCAAGGACAACGGGAAAAATTGGAGGTGGTGCAGCAACTGAAAGAAGAACTATGTGACATGAGGATTGAGCTCATAAAATGTTCAAGGAATGAGACTACTTTGCTTATGGCCCTTGTATTTTCCTGGGTTTTTTTCGCCATAATGGTGTTGTACTTAAAGTAGGATTTATGGTGTGTACCTTTTGAAATGAAATGAAATGAAGTATGGTTTTTCCTGAATAACATGTTTGTAATTTTTTTTGCGCATAAACAAATAATCATGCAAAGTCATTGGCAAATTAGGTACATTATGTACCAACCCAACATATAAGTTCACAAATCCAAAATAACAGTAATGCAGCAAATAGTTTCATACACAAAAGGAAATTCTACCCTAATTCTTAATTGAAACAGTATCCACTTGAACCTAAGCTAATAGTAATTAGTCTGGAACTACTACACAGAAGGAGGAGTTTGCTATCTAAACTATCTTTGAATGAAAAGCTTTTTACTTAGTTGGCTGATGGAGGGTTGATTGCTGACTTGGGATTATGAAATTCAAACTTTGGTCATGGCTTGGCCTAGGTGTCAGTCCTCCTCTCATGTTGGATTGGCCACGCACCTATCACATGAAAAAGTAGGCTAAGTTAGGATAGCTGAATGAAACAACAGAGATAACAAAATCAATTTGCAATTTTTAAACACATACATTGGGTTGTATACTCCCATCCTCAGCACTGTACACACCCACTCCTCTTGGAATTCTCTGTCTTACCCTACCACCACTGTACCTACCACCTCTTCCTCTCCCTGCAGAGCTCTCTACTTGGCCTCTTCCTCTCCCTTTAGAGTTCTGAGCTTGTCCTCTCCCACCAGAAGAAGCTGCAGATGTAGCAGAACTCTAAGCACCTCCTCTTGATCCTAACCCTCCTCTTATAGCTCTGCCACCTCTCCCAAGCTGTGCAGGCTAGGCAGTGAATGAATGGTGTGGAGCTGATGCAGATATTATGACCTGAGTTTGAGGATTTTCAGGCACATTGCTATGAGGTGGCTGGCCATCATTTCTGGGCCTGCCCCTATGCCTTTTTGTAGGGGGTGGTATTGTATCCTTGTTAGGACATCTTCTTTTGTTGTGTCCCTTGTATTTGCACAAGGAACAGGTCATCTTAACACCAGACTTGGTCAAACAGCCAGGTTTTTTAGGGTTTTCAAAAGGGTCCCTAATTATATTTTTCCTTGGCCTCCCTGGACCAATTTTAATTGGTGGTGGGTCCAGGGGACATTGCACCTTTGGCCAAAACCTCTCACCTTCAAAGGGTGGAATTGAACCTATCCCAGTCAATTCATAGAAGCATCATTAGGTAAACTAGTAGTAGAAGATAATAGTAATTAGTTTCAGAGAGAAGAGTTAGTGTATACCTGCATAAGCCTGTAGATATGCTTCCCTTGTGTAACACCTTTCCACATAGTCTTCTGCTTCTTTGTTCATAAAGAAGATGCAAGCAACTACATGGCAGCAGGAAATACCAACCATTTCCCACTTCCTACAGCTGCAAGTTTTTTCTTCCAAATTAACAACAAGCAGGTTCAAGCCATGAATGACATTGAACAATTGGTCTGTGGAAGGATGCACATCACAATATGTAGCCTTGTGTTTCTCCTTGTCCAATTTTTCCTGAATTCTTGGGCACAGAACACCTGACCATTTCTCCATCCCTTACCTTTTTTTGAGTAGCCTCTGCATCAAGCATGTTCTGATTTCTTCTAACATGTACAACAGGTGCTTTGTTCTTGCATTTATTATATAGCCATTGAAAGTTTCTGCAATATTGTTGGTTATTGCATCAGTCTTCATTGAAGTACCTAAGAAAGATCTGGAAAATTAGCTAGGATTATAGGCTTTGAATGCCTCAGCTGCTTCAGGATTGATTACAATGAGCTCATTCAATGCATCATCATAATCTGCCTTGTTGTAACACTTAGAAATCTTCCATAATTGCAACTTAAGCTCATCTCATAGGTCTTGTGCCAGTTGGCAAATATATGCCTGGCATAATGCTTGTGTTCTAATTTGGGTAGAACAGAGGACACAACATTGATAATAGCCTAACATTAAAGTAAGTGCAATAAGTAGTAAGCTACAAAAATTATTTGAAAATACATTTGTGCTTAGAGTGAATAAAAGTCAGAGTGCTCATACATGGTGCTCATCAGACAAGACTGCGAAAACCTTCACCATCTCCCAACTCTAACACTTTCTGTACAACAGCCCATGCTCATCAGACAAGATGCACAAAAAAACCATTCCCAACTCACATTATTCTCACCCTCAACAACAGCCCATGCCACTGGCAACATTTGGTCATCGGCATCCCTTCCAACAGCATAAAGCAATTAACCACCTAGAAAGGTCTTCAGAAAGCTTGCATCAATAGCCAACACCTTCCTACAACCATCTTTTCATCCCTTGGATAACCCCTCAAAGCACATGAAAAATCTTTGAAACATAGGTGGACCCTTCTTCTGTTGGCAAGTAACTAGCTCAGTTGTACTACCAAGGCTGCTTGTCTGCAATGATGCAAGATAAGCTCCCACTTTTTGGTAGTGGTTATGCATTGAACCATGTAGCAGAGTGTGGGCAGCATATTTCACTCTATAAGCAAACACCTTATTCAGAATGATCTTGAAAGCTCTTTTAATGCACTCCACTATTTCCTTTGCAGGCCAATGTGGTCTGCTTTTGAATACTTCAAGGAATTGTTTTGCAACCTAGGTAGCTTTCAACTGCCTGTTTTTCTTCATGTTCCTCTGGCGGGTATGCTCTCCACTCACCCTCTTCACAATCAAGGCTGCCTTTGTTGAATGCCTATATGCATAAACATAGAAAGGACACCCTTTACAGCATTTCACTCCTACCCTCTAGTGTCTCTTCTTGTTCCCAACAGCAAAAGTTAAGTTTTTACCCTGTAAAACAGCATATTTGGCAACTGCCTCTTTAAAATCTTCCCTCTTGGCAAATCTTAAACCCACTTTCCACTTAAATTGATTGAAATCTGTATTTGGGCTTACAAGCAGTGCAAATCTTCTCTTCCTCAAACCATCATTCCCTCATCTTCACTCTCAGGTGGTGTATGCATCTCCTTATCAGAGTCCTCATAGTCACTAAAATTTTCACCTTATGTCACTGGATCTTGGACACCTAGTTTCCCCTCAGCAACTTCATGTATAACTTTGGATGCAACCTGAATTAACTGTGTACTACAAGATTTAACCCTCTCTCTAGCTGTGTTGTACTCCTCATCACTCACATCAGAATCTGTCTGTAATGTCTCATTAAAAATTGCATCTTCATATTCTTTCTCAACCTCAGGATCTAACTGCTCCAACCTTACGTCCAATTCTTCTTTAGTTGTAGGACCATGTTTCACTACATCATAGTTGTCCTCATCACTATCCTCATCAGTGTACACATCACTAAACACCCTCCTCTCACCAGCTACTGCAACTCCCTTCCCTTTATCAGTCTTAGGGTCATATGGAGGGTCTGTGTCCTCACTAATATCAGTTTCACCTCCTACTAACTCATGTAAGGGAATTGGAGACTCAGGTCTATCATCATACCAATTGTAATCTTCATATACAGGAGGTTCTGTTTGGGATGAATGTTGTGAAAGAAGAGGGTTCCCTAAACCTAGATCTGGATTAGAAGTACTGGAAGGAGGGAGCTGGGCTGACTTAGAGACAAATTTAACTTTAGGTGAGCTGGAAACTGTTTTTTTTCAGTGTGGGATTACCTTTACCCATTAAATGTGAAGGGGTGGGAGCTTTTTCTTTTGGACTTAGAGTCAAACTACCATTAGGTGGGCCCCTTCTTTTTTTTCCTGGGACTTAGAGGAATCACACAATTCTTCTTCTTGGGGTAATAGTTGAAAATGTGTTTGGACATCAGGTGGGTCTGTGGGGTCCAGCACTGGTGACTCAGCACCATGGTGTACATACATCTCCACAACTCTGTATTTAGCACCTAATTTTGTCACCTCCCTCACATCTTCATCACCATTAACCCTCCTCAAACCATTACTCATACTTAGTCCAGGAATCAAATATAACACAGCTTCAACATGTTTCCCACCACAACACGCAGTCCCCATCTGTACAATGTCCCACAAACATAACTCATCTGGGTCAACCTACTTTATTTTACCCTTCCCTCCCACATACACCAATTCACCATCAGACTTTAAAGTAAAAGCCCCAGAATACCAAAACTTCAAGCTGATCTTGTTAAATTTAGTATTCATGTTCAACCTATAATTTCACTATCAAAATTTAATTTTGAAACAATAGTACACTACAACTACAGACAGCGCAACATAAATCAACCATTATACCAACGCAGAAACACAAACAGCCGCGGAATTCACATCAAAGAAACCCTAATTCCAAGTTTTGATTTTTATGGCATTTTCGTTTCATAAATTCACACAACTATAAACCATTATTGTATGTCGAAATTGATGACTAAACAAAAAAAAAATGACCAAAAAGTTACGAATTAAGGGTTACCTCTACTTCCTTCTTGCGTCCCCTACTTCGCATTCATCAACTGAGCTGCTTCTTTCCTCAAATGAAAACCCTAGACAACAATTTCGCCTTCCCGCTGCGATTTTTGGGATTTTCAGAGAAGTACAATGGGTCGTAATTGGGGGGAAAGTGAAAGTTGCAGAGTATTAATGGCGGGATTTTAATTTTGCCAGGAAGGAGTAGTTGGAAGGAGATGTTGACTGGACATCATTTTAGGAGGGATATGTGATCAAAGTCAATATTGAGGTTTGTTGACTCAACATTCACTTCCTTAGCCGGTTCCCAGTTTTTGGGTTTGAGGAATGATAGGCCATATCAAAGTTGGGATTATTGAGGAATAATCCAAAGTTGGGATTAATAAAAATAAATTGGCCAAAGTTGGGATTGAAAAATGGTATTAATCCTAAATCATAATACCTTCCAGTTTCCTTTAATTTATTACAAAAAAAAAAGCATACAACAACAAACCAAATAAACCAGTATATCAAAATGCAACCAAAAGACAACAAAGACTGGAAACATAATGACCTGATGTAGACCAGTATATCAAAAATTGCAAATTCTTAAACTGAATTTTTAATTAGGTATAGTTAGAACATGATCAACAATGTGTTTGGATTAAAAGAACCAAGGAGAGGAGAGGAGAGGGAACACGAGAAATATAAACATGTTCCGAATATGATTCCCACCTTCCCTTCCCTTCCCTTCCTTGGTCTCCCTTTCATCAACGTACATCAAAATAAGCAAATAACCAAAAATTAGACCCTCCCTCCAAATCTCCTACCCTCGCGTTGCCTCCAAATCCCCTCATCCTAACACACAATAAAGCTCAAAATTAATGAGTGAATGCAGAAAGTGAATTGGTATTAGATAAAATTCGGAAAAATAAATCACAAATATTAGAAAATACCTAAAAACTTTCGAGGAAAATCCCACAATATTCGGGATTAGAGTTTGAAGGTTGAAATGGTTGTTTGCCGAATAGATGAACAAATTTACTAAATTTTCAATGCAAAACCGTTTATAATTTCACCGGATTTTCAATGCAAGACCGTTTATAATTTAACCCAAGTTTAACAGAAACCAAGAAAAATAACCGTATGAGTGTATGAGAGATTGAGATGAGGTATGACTGTATGAGTATGAGACTGTACGAGAGATTGAGAGGGAGAGAGAGAAGACAAAAAAGGGGCGCCGAATAGAGATGCTTAGATTATGAGATTAGGGTTATATTTTCTAGGGTTAATTTTAACTTTTTTAATGAAATCTAACCGTTGGTTTCAATCTAACCGTTCAGTGTTTTTTTTTTTTAATTTTCATATTTAATGTGTGGCTAGCAGGATTCACAGATTCTAGAAGTTCTGTATTTTTTTATGACTGTTGCTTTTAATTTATTTTTTTAATTTTCTGTTTTTTTCTTTTCTTTTCCAAAAAAAAAACTAAGTAAAATATTATAAATATATATGTATATATTTCATTCAAAAAAAAAAATATATATATGTATATATTATTTCCCACAATTCTATTATTAATTATTATTATTATTATTATTATTGTTGTTATTATTATTATTATTATTATTATTATTATTATTATTATTATTATTATTATTATTATTATTATTATTATTATTATTATTATTATTATTATTATTATTATTTTCCAAGGTAAATGCGGTTTATAGTTTATCTTAATTGCAAAATGTAGCTTTAAACGATTCTTATTTCGTTGTATACTTGTACAGTTGTACTATATAAATAATATAAATATATAATGGTTTCGTGGCTTTCGTCCATTTAGCCTTTCAGGCTGTTGAGTTAATAATCTAAATAAAGTAACAAACTAATCCATTTAACCTTATGTAACTTATAAATTGTAAGAAATGCAAATGTTTGGAAATTGAAATTGATTCGATATGACATTATCGACATAGTTAATGTATATCAGTATCTATATATGAGTATATCTGTATATCAATATATGTAATAAATAATAATGTATGGTATGATTGGTATCATAATATCATTGGTATGTATAGATAATCGATAAACGTATCTGATTATTAAAAATTAAAACACTTGATGATCGATCTAATTGAATACTTCTCCTCATTTATCGATTTATCGTATT